TCGGCAGCCGAGACAGCAAATGCTGTCTCGGAAACACTGTTTGTTCAGGGGTTATAAATACCCCCCTGAGATTATTTTTTTGAGGGGGGGCTGATCATTTTTGAGCACTTTGGAGCAGACAGAGCAGAGTTCTTGAGCTTCTGGCAATTCCTTGAGATTCTAGCTTTGACTTGATCTTAAGAAGAACGACTATCTTACTTTGATAAGATATCGTTTCAAATTCTCACTTCGATAAATGAAGGAAGAATCATTAAACCCCTCACGATTCAATCAGAATCTGTGATTTGGTGGTCCACGAGTCAAAGCGCTCCCGGCACAGGCAAAGATCCCACGCAAGCAGCGATCCAAACAACGATCCTGCGTTTGTTTCTCAAGAGTTGTAATTTCCTTTTGTTGTGTAAAAGAAGTCTTATAAAAAGGCTATTTCTTTTGAATTTATTGTAATATAATGAATTCCACAGCAAAACCAATTTTTGACGCAAACATATAGGAATTGAAATTGTTGCTTCAAAAGTTCTCTCAAGTTGTGAGAGGTGTTAATCTCTTGGTTTAGAGATTGGTGTGCAAATTGGCAAGGTGTTTGTCAATTGGTGTTACAATTTGCAGGGACTTACAAATTGGTCAGGTTTGCTTTTGATTTTGTAAGTTTATTCAAAATCATAGTGGAAACTCTCAAGCAGGATTTGCTTGGGGACTAGATGTACACCGGATTGGTGGAACCAGTATAAAACCTTGTGTTTGTGATTGTGAATTTCTGAGATTGCCATTTTTCTTTGCAATTTATAATCTACTTTGCATAAATCTTAAAAGAATACTATTCACCCACCTCTAGTGTTCTAGTGTATCTATTTCAGATCCTACACAACCTAAGGTGCAGAATTTCCAGAGAGCATAAGGTGCTATACTTTGCCAATAAGGTGCTATACTTTACCAATAAAGAGCTATACTTTGCTATATAGTGCTATATTTTGGCCATAAGGTGCTATATTTTCCCATAAAGTGCTATACTTTGCCAAAAACTTCAAAATTACTCGAGGACCCCCGTCGCAGTGGATGATTGGTCAATAAACACGTAACGTAGGTCATCGAGTGTTTGCGTTGCGGTGAAAAAAACTAATTTGGTTTTAGACAACTTAAGGTGCAGAATTTTCAGAGAGCATAAGGTGTTATACTTTACCAATAAGGTGCTATACTTTTCCAATAAAGTGCTATACTTTGCCATATAGTGCTATACTTTGACCATAAGATGCTATACTTTCCTATAAAGTGCTATACTTTGCCAAAAGCTTCAAAATTACGTGAGGACCCCCCGTCGTGGTGGATGATTGGTCAATAAACACGTAACGTAGGTCATCGAGTGTTTGCGTTGCGGTGAAAAAAACTAATTTGGTTTTAGACAACTTAAGGTGTTGCGGTGAAAAAAACTAATTTGGTTTTAGACAACTTAAGGTGCAGAATTTTCAGAGAGCATAAGGTGTTATACTTTACCAATAAGGTGCTATACTTTTCCAATAAAGTGCTATACTTTGCCATATAGTGCTATACTTTGACCATAAGATGCTATACTTTCCTATAAAGTGCTATACTTTGCCAAAAGCTTCAAAATTACGTGAGGACCCCCCGTCGTGGTGGATGATTGGTCAATAAACACGTAACGTAGGTCATCGAGTATTTGCGTTGCGGTGAAAAAAACTGATTTGGTTTTAGACAACTTAATGTGCAGAATTTTCAGAGAGCATAAGGTGCTATACTTTGCCAATACGGTGATATACTTTGCCAATAAAGTGCTATACTTTGCCATATAGTGCTATACTTTAGCCATAAGGTGCTATACTTTCCCATAAAGTGCTATACTTTGCCAAAAGCTTCAAAATTGATCGAGGACCCCCCGTCGCGGTGGATGATTGGTCAATAAACACGTAACGTAGGTCATCGAGTGTTTGCGTTATGGTGAAAAAAACTGATTTGGTTTTAGACAACTTAAGGTGCAGAATTTCCAGAGAGCATAAGGTGCTATACTTTGCCAATAAGGTGCTATACTTTGCCAATATAGTGCTATACTTTGTCATATAGTGCTATACTTTGGCCATAAGATGCTATACTTTCCCATAAAGTGCTATACTTTGCCAAAAGCTTCAAAATTAAGCGAGGACCCCTCGTGGAGGTGGATAATTAGTCACGCGACACATAACGTAGGTCATCGAGTGTTTGCATAGCCCTAACAAAACTTATTTAGTTTATCGCAACGCAATAAGTTGCTGAATTTCCAGAGACCATAAGGTGCTATACTTTATCGATAAGGTGCTATACTATTGCCATAAGGTGCTATACTTTACCATAAGGTGCTATACTTCATCAATAAGCCGCTATACTTTCCCATAAAGTGCTATACTTTATCAGAAGCTAGAAAATTGAGCGAGGACCCCTCGTCGAGGTGGATAATTGGACACACGAAACATAATATGGCCCAATAGGCTATAGTTACCACAACCTACCATCAAAACTTCTTCAGTTCAATCAGTGCATCAATTCATTACAGATATTCATATCTATCAACCTCTAAACTCAGGCACATAACATTGAATGAAAATAATCCATGAAGATTGAATGGAAATAATCCAAAATCACCACTATCGAAACGTTGTATACATTTCTACTAGATACATTTCTTAAATTTCTAATAGAAAATTTGATACATCATGATACATTGGATAGTGCATTTGATACAATATACACACAAATCATCTATATATACATAATATAGAAAATTTCATACAACACGATACATTAGATACTACTTGGTACATCATATTGCAGGCTGTAGTTGATTTGCCGTTTGGGTTACAATGTGACAACAATGCTAAGATCTGATGAATGCCAAGAGTGGAGGATTCTCTCATGTATTTGATTGGAAAGTTAGTGTACGTGCATTGACGAATCGTTTCTGATTGAGGGGTAGCTGTGCATTGCGTTAGGTGTTGGCGACAATAGAAAATGGTGAGGAGCAACCAGAGGGCGTAGGAAGGCATACCAATGAGCTAAGATCATGGCGGTCCACAAAACCAAACTTCTCTTGGACATTTCATCAACCACCTTTATTGCCTCCTCAACCAACAACAATATGGCATAACCGCTAATCGTTGTGGTCCAAATAACTATATCCCTTTTGTCATTCCATCAAACACCTTCTATGCATCAAACTAGTCACCAAAACATAGATATATATGATCAAAATTGTTATGCACATAGTCTTTCCTAAAGCATAAGCTTGATAAGAATCCATCAATTTATAAGAACAAGACATTTTTAACAAGATATTGCCAAAAAAACCCAAAATTTCAAAATGTTAACATACCGTTTTCTATTGGTCGGCTTTGAGTGGACTGGGTGGTCCTAGGGCCGCTGCCACCGCCCCCTTCAATGAAGGATCTAGCGAAGAGAAACCTGCAAGTTGACATTAGACGCCATTGCAAGTAGGGGTGGAAATGAACCAAATAATTAACAAATAGTTCGATAATTGTTCGAATAACTATTCGATCATATTCGATTCGGTAGTTCATTTACTACTAAACAAATATTTTTTAGTATTCGAGTTTACTAACGAATAGAATTTAACCAGATGTATATTCGATTCGTTTGTCTATTAAATATTCGTTTAAAATTTAATCACAGCTTATTATTTGTATTATTGCACATATGATGTCATATTTTTAATTCACTTACTATTTCTACTCAACTTTTATATACTGATTTTAAGTCTAAAATAATCTTAAATCTATTTTCTAATTAAAATTTTGATTTAAATATATATACATCATATATTAAAAAGGAATAATTTTTTATTTATGAATTTTAATATTATTTGAAAATCAAATTTTTTAGCAGAATAAATATACTCTAATATTCAATAAGTATTCGTGAATATTCATGAATATTTATCAAATACCAAGTATTCGAGTTCGAATTCGAAAAACTAGATATATGAATATTAGAGTCCGCATTCGAATTCGATAATTTTAAACAAATACAAATACGAACACCTTAGTATTCGATTCGATTCGATCGTTTACCACCCCTAATTGCAAGAGATCAAAACCCTTGAATTTTTAGGGTTTTTTTTAGTGGGAGGAGAACTAGAAAGATGGAGATAATTAGAAAGAGAGTTGAGCACTGGGTAGTTATTAGGGAGGAAGAAGAAGAAGAACAAGGGTAATTTCTCTCTCCACGTTTCTCCATTCGTATTTGGGAAAAACCACCCTAGCCCACGTTCTCTCCCTCCCTCTCTCTCTCTCTCTCACTCTCACATTCCCCATTGATCTGCGAGTCCGCCCTCTCTCAGTTCCCTTATCTCCCCTCAAACCCCAACCGTCGACGACTTTAAAGCAACTGCACTGTTTAGAAAAAAAATAAATATATTTTTCCTCACAAATCAAAGAAAAGCTTTCTCTTCTGTACAATTATATTATAAACACTTGATGAAACAAAATCCCCAATTTCTACAATTAGACCTTTCTACTCTTCTTCGATCAGATCCAGTTTGATTCCTTTGCTTTCTCTCTCTTTTTCCCTCTCGGTTGATGTCTTTTCGTCTGATTCTTTCTCTACTATTCTTCTCCTTTCTCCTTCGGAGCCTCGAAGCTCGATCCATCGGCGGCGGTGGTGCCGATGAAGTCCACGATTTCGCCGTCGATCTCAATAGCTCCACTTTTGCGAGTGTTCTAAAAGAATCTAAGGGCAATTTTGCGATCGTCGAGTTCTTTGCGCACTGGTAACGATTTGATTGAATTTTTTTTGTTTATATTTTTGTTGAGTTGATCTATGAAATATCGATCCTAATATATGTGAGATGTTCATGATTTTAGGCGCATTGGTTCTTTTTCTGCTTTTAGCTACCTTTTTACTGAAATTTTGTATTTTGTTTCGAATTTAGTTTTTTTTTAATTTTGCAGTGGAGTTAGCTGTTAAAGTTGATGGTAAAGGAGGAAATGATCAAAAGGCGATGACTCCGTGGTCGAAGCATTCTGCTACAGAGCAGAGGTAGGGAAGCAAAATCAATGATAGGCAAGTTTTCTTTTTCCACCAATTTTGGGGTTTATTAAAGCAATATATATTGTTACAATACAAACTTTTTTACTTGAAATTTAACTGATAAAATGAAATGTCTGGGCTTTTTGTCTTTTTCCGACCGGAGATTGGCGGCGGTGTCACGTGCGGTGTGGGGGTCGAACGGTTGAGGATGCGCGAGCGTGGAGTAGTGCTGCGTTTCTTTATCAGTATGATTGCTGGTCGGCGCTTAAGTACGTTAATGGTACTCAACAGGTAATTTGTTTTCTAATTGTCAATTTTAATATCTTTTTTTTTAAGGAATTGGTGAACTTTGTAGAGAGGCGCTTGAAAGTTTGTCCTTTCTCAGTTTGCTATTTAGATTGTGAACCATGCGACCCTCCCGCGAACCATATACTAATCATGTAAAATAATAAGTCTTTTATTTTTTCCTCATTTGGGACATAGATCTTTTTGTTTTTGCGCCTTTTCTGATGTTTAGTATGCTATCATAATTGCCATCATATTATAGACAACCATGATCCATCTAGAGTATCAAAAAATAGGTCAGTTTTGGGGGATTAATATTGAAAAACCAATGTCAATAATGGATCTTTATTGAAATATCCAAAAATGTACAGTTTTGGGGGATTAATATTGAAAAACCAATGTCAATAATGGATCTTTATTGAAATATCCAAAAATGTAACTCTAAAGCTACGAAATAAATCAGTTCCAATGTCAATAATGGATCTTTATTGAAATATCCAAAAATGTAACTCTAAAGCTACGAAATAAATCAGTTCCTTTCCTAACTCAAGTTTTTTGTGGTGGTTTCCTAACTCAAGGTTTAATGGACGAAATTTTTTATTTATTGCATAATCCTACTACTAAATTAGAAAATTTTCATTTAATTCTCAAATTTTTATATGAAATCTTCTGATTAAATTTCTAAATTTTCATCTTTTTTTCCTTAAATTTGTAAAGAAATTTCTCATTTTTATCCTTAAATTTTGATCTATAATATTTACTGAAGTGGTAGTCAAAGTTCACCTTAGACTGAATATTTAAAGGTGGTATAAACTGCATTAAATTATAGTATGATATGAATTGCCATAAATGTTGAATTGGAATCTTCCTGATTGTTATTTGTATCATTCATAGATATTGAGATAAGTTATTATTTTGTCAATAGATGCTTGGATTATCACTATCTATTTTTTGTTCTTATTATTGTTCAGAAAGCTTGAACTGAGTTATTGTTGGCTATTGATATGCTTATATGTTCTTATATATACATACATTCACATACACTTAGAACTCAATTTCAGGATAATGGAGAGCAATGATGAGGACCATAATCTTAATTGTCCAGAAGTTGTAAACGATACAACGTTAGGTGTATGCAATAATTGAACATAATATTAGCATAATTGAACATAATATCTAACATATTCTTTACATAATTAATAATTAATTATTTGCATACGAAACCATGTTTATAAAGTATAAAATAATTTTAAGATAAATTTCACGTGACAAACCACAAAAAGGTTTTGGTAAAAATTGCACACAAAAATAATCTGTAAGGATGTCGTGCTTTGCACGGGATGAATACTAGTATCTTCCTATAGACAAACTATTTTTAAGAATAGTTTTCTGTATTGGAAACTAGATTCACATATCTTTTATTTGACACTAGTTTAGCTCGATTTGGAGTTCATTTGCTATCTCAAAATCGCAGTTAAAGCTTATACAAGTGCATATTTCCAGAATTCCTATCTACATATTCATGTGCGTATATATATTCATATATATATTTATTTACTCATTTAAACTCATTGATTCTTATCCTCATAATTCATGCAACAATATCACAATTTGATTCCCACTTAGCAGTATAAATATACTTGTAAATAAATAAACTTTTAGGGTAAATCAAATTAGAAATTAGCATCACAATTAATCAATTAATTTACACATAAATTCTCAAAGTGATTAATTATCCATGATGAGGTCTATACAATTAACAGAGGCAATAAATCACTTAAATAAGTTTTTGTTATTCAAATAATCACAAACAATTAACATAGGTAATACTTCACTTGATTATTCCTCTAGAATTCTTTTTAACATGATTTTAACATGATAACAACATAATTAATGAAATTAATTTTAATCCTAATGATCATGATCATAAATCTAATTCCAAATGTAATTAATCAAAATAGTCAGTTCTAGCATTTGATTAATTATCATCGAAAACGGGTAATTAACACAACAATACATCATGACAGTTAAAAGCTCAAGCATGAACAATATCGTTTTTCAACTTCTTAAATCTTTAACTAATGTATAGGGAAGGTTTGGGTAGGAGATAATCTTGCCTTGATGTCACTGAAAATCCCAAATAAATGCTCGTGCGAGAATTCCCCTTCACTCCTGTCTTTAACCTTTGCTTCCTCTTCTCAAACGCCACAGGAAACATCACATTTCCTCTTCTTCAATGTCACAGGAGGAAATTCTCAGAGGCTACAGGAGGAAAAGAGGAGGGAGAGGCTCTGTAGTGTGTTTGGGAACTGATAGAGGGTTTTGGGGGTGAGCTCTTTGACAGAGAGCTCTCTAAGCTGATGAGTTTTGGTTTAGTATAGGGAAGAGAACAGGTCTTGGTTAAGCACAGGGAAGAGAACAGATGGGTTTTCTCTTCTTAATTACTTGACAAAAGAATCCCTCTTTAGCTTTAGAATTCTAAATCAATTGGGTTGTCTTTATCAGTACAATTATTCATCTCTCTTTTGATTCTTTAAATTTGTGTGGTTGCTGTCATCACAGCATTAAGAGCGTGCTTAGAGAAATGACAAACGGCGCTGCATCAGAAAGTTCCTCTTTTACAGGTTTTAAGGGAATTTTTATTCTCTTTGAATTTTAAATCAATGGAGTGGCCACATACCCTCACACCACTTGTATTGGTCACAATACATGTCCAAATACATGTATATACAAGTTTACATACTACTGGAATTGGATTAAAAACTAAAAAGAAAAAGAAAAATCTGAATTCAAATGTGCACAGGCGCCAGCGGTCGACCGCAGGGTTCTACGGTCGACCGCGCAGGTTCTACGGTCGATGGTGGGGCTTCTGGGGTCGACCGAGGCGTTTTGGCAGTCGACCGTAGCTCTAAACGGTCGACCGTGGGGTTTCGCGGTCGACCATGGGGTTTTGCGGTCAACCGCGTGGTTTCTGCGGTCGATCGTGACGGTCGACTGTGCAGGTTTTAGGGCTTTTTGTTACTATTTTCGCCATAACTTTCTCATCCGACCTCGGAATGAGATGATTCAAGATGCGTTGGAAAACTATTAAAGAGACCTACAACTTTGGTCTTTTGAGTTTTTCCATATTCGAACCACATTTGTGTGAAAAAATTTAAAACTCATAACTGGTCATTTGTATATTCACTTCTATACATTGAATTGATCCCAAATCAATTCCTAGCATACCCAAACATCAAAATATATTGCTTATCACAATCCAACATATTTATTATTATTTATCACACTTATATAAAAATTTTCTAGGTTTTACAAATGGGTAATGGGCTTGAAGTTCGGATAATGGTAAAATATTGGCTGTTAGATAAAAGAGTGGGTAATGGGCCTCAATGGCAAGTTTGGATAAAAAAGAAAAAAGGGGCAGTCTCTCTCTCTCACTCTCGTTTTCTTCTCTCTCTCACTCCCGTTTTCTAAATTAGGATCAAGTCCTGCTCCAAACCCTAGAGATCGCTGCCTTTGATTTGCCGATAACCCTCGTCCACTTTTAGTGGATGATGGACGTGGATGTAGAATTGATTTAGGGATTTAACCTAATGGATTGAACCTAGCTCTGATACCATGTTAATTGGTATTGAAGAGACCTCTGTATATTGATGATCAGATGAGATTTACAAGATATATATACATAATCAGTAGTAATCAGTAGCCCAGTAGTGGGCATATTAGGAGGCGGCTGAGACAGGCTAGGAGGCGATAGGTGCTGCACTGGCTGGTATTATCTAAGAGCAACTCCAATGGGGAGGCTGCAAAATGCAGCCTCCCCAAAGCATATTCTTGGGCATATGCTTTTTTAGAGGAGGGCACTCCAACCACCCCCTCTATATAAAGCTCTATTTGTATTTTCAATTGATTTCTTTTATAATACTTTAAATAGATTTGAAAATATAAAAAATATAAAATGTTAAAAAATTATATGAATTAATTTAAAATATAAAATATATTATAAATTAATACTAAAAGTATAATATATAATATACTCATTATTTAAATAAAATTAATTATCTTTAATAAATTGATAATAAGACATAGATAATAGCCTTTAAATTTTAAAAAGCAGAAAATATAGCATAATATTTGGAACAACCTTCACAGTACTCCGAATGATGAAATTTTATATATTACATTCAGCGACATTACATAAAAAAATAAAGTACATGAAAAAAACTAAAAATCGGGCAGGCCATTTCCTCCATATCCACCGCTTCTGTAGTCAGGTATTCTGTATTGACTTCTTGCATAACTATATTCAAGATTAGGAATATCAGATGAAGAACCTCCGGTTGTGTTTCTATTTAAAATCTCTTGTTTTTTAATTCGAAAATACTCGCGTTCCGAAGGATCAGTAATAGTATCAAGATTAATCAACATAATCTTACTTTCCTGGCGTTCCCTTTGAATATCTAATTTTTTCTTTTCGTTTTCGGCCCTTAACATCATAATCTGGTGCATTGCTATTCTATCATTTTCTCGTTCTCCATGACTTTTTTTTAAAATATCGACAATTTCTTGATTGCTTTTATTGAGAGTTTCCAAATCGAGGTTGGATTCAGTTGCCTGTCGCCTCCTCATCTTCTCATTCTTCCTTCCTGTCGGTCGACTTGTTATCATATCTTCGTCATTATGAGTATATTCCTCATTATCGTCATTTAAGTCGACGACAGGAGAACTTGAATCTGATCCCTGAGATGAGCGGGACTTTGAAGTTTTGGAAGTTGCAGGCGATCTGACACTTATATTTGCCCATTTCTCTGCATCTTTTAAAATTGACCAAACATGATCAAATAGAAACCCCTTTCTCTCTTCTGGATCTTCTGCAAATATTATCCTAGCACGTTTAATCTACCACAAGAGAGGAAGAAACATTTATTAATAACATGATAGTAGATGATAATCAAGATTTATGTTATTCAAAATACTTACAATGTCAAGCTCAGAAGCACCGCTTG